GGAGCTCCGTTCCCTGCAGCGGGGAGAGCTGTGGAGCTGCTATGGGGCTGATGCACATCCACTGCACAACTCCTCGGTGCAAGGCTGCAAACTGCACCCGTGTCCCTTCAAGTGCCATCACACATATGGCATGGCTGAAGGTGACAGTGGCAGAGCTGCAGCCCCAAAGCTTGAAGGATGTTAAGAGGGGCTCAGAAGAGGCTCTCTGTCGCAGTCCGGCTTTCTGCACTGGCCAAGCACAGTTTTGCAGCACGTGGTGCATGGTGACAGGGAGCGGTCCTGCAGTCCAGACATGGATGGGTTTGGAGAGAGGCCAGTGGCTGAGCAAGGTACAGAAATCCTAAATAATACCATAGTACAACAGCTACAGTTCCTATTTTCAGGCCGTGCTCAGAGAAGGGGAGGGGGCTGAGGAATTAACTTGAAAAGAACAGCAAATGTGGAACAGATGCTGAGAAGCGCCTTTTTGTTCTTGTTTTCCAGGCGTAGAGTTGTGAGAGCCTGGCTGGGAAGGGCAAAGCAAGGAGGAGGAGGATGGGGGGGGGGGGGGTGGCCATGGCACAGAGGAGCTGTGCAGCCACGGCACTGCCATCCTTTGTGTGCTCGTGGGAAGCCATCGTGATCATCCTGCATCATAGCATTGCCAAACAGTGGCTCATGGAGGAGGGATGCAGAGCCCATGGCTGCAGCACAATGTCACTCTGTGCTATGAGGAGGCCACATCCGTGTCAGGACAGAGCCCTGTTGCCCCCAGTTGCCCTGGAGGTGCTGCAGCAGTGCAGTGGGCTGCTGCCATATGCACACACTTCCCAATTTCTGGGGGGTGGGTGTGCAGGGTGGGTATTCCTCATATAAATCTCCACAGTCCCACCTTGGGGCTTGGCACTGCTGGCCAGGGCCAGTCTGACCTGAACTACACCTGGCTAGCATCTAAAAATGCAAAACATGGGCAAAAGAAATCCCTTTGAAGGGCAGGAATGTCCCTCTGTCCCAGAACAGGGCTGCTTGCTAGCATGCACTTTCTGGTGAATAACTCCAAAACCCAGCAGGCTGCAGCAGCATCCTTCCCACCATCCAACCTGTGGGATGATGTTGATGGGAGATTTTACCTGCTTCTGCTCTTGATGCACCTCCAAAGCTCGTGCTGTGAGCAGCCAACATGGGAAGCCACAGTCTGGAGCTGGGATGTGCAGCAACATCACCAACAGCAGGGCACTGGGATGCCCAGGAGTGGCACTGGGAGGCACTGGAGCCCAGCTGTTGCCTGTGTGCACTGAGCATCACTTGCTGCAAGGTGATGAACAGTCACCTGCGTGCATTTTGGGGACACACACACCTGCCATGGCCCTGTCCCCAACCCAGCGCTGCCCTTGGAGGCATCCCCTGGTGGTGACTGCTCCCTCCCTGTTGTCTTCATGGTGGGGAGCGCAGCCCCGCAGCTCAGCCACCACCTGGGTGGTGCCTGAACAAAGCAGGAATCACTCATGACCATCGAGGCCATCCCCAGCCTCCTGCCAGCCCTGTAGAGCCTCTGATTGGAAACCAGAGCGTGTGCCAGCCATGAAGGATTCTGATAGCCTTTTTTTTTTTTGTCTTTTTTTTTTTTTTTTTTTTTTCTGTCTTTTTTTTTTTTCCCACTATGCTTGAATGAGTTCAGCAAATACAAGCTAAAAAAGAGGGGGAAAAAGAGCAAGCAAAAATCCGAGCAGATTTAATTTTAGATAGGGCACGGAAGCAAAATGGCTGTGGTGCAAAGAGGGGAAGTTAATGGAGAAACCCTACGGCTGTGCTGCTATTAGTTATTTATAGGGCATCATCGGCCCTTTGGGGAGCCTGTCCCAAGCTGGGGGGGTCAATGCTAGGGCTGCCCCAGGGCAGCGGGGTGAGATGAGGATAGTGGGTTTGGGGACAGAGCAGTAATGTGTGAAGATGCCCTTAAATTGGTCTCAATGATCCTTATTAGTCCTTTCCAGCACGGGACGTTGCATGATCCCCAGGGAGCCATTACCTGGTGGGAAATGAAGTGGCTGATTGCAGGTTGGTGATTTGGGGCTTTTGACTTGAGACCCACTACAAACAGCCCATACCAAACCAGCCTGGAGATGTGTCAAAACCAAGTTTTCCCCCCCAAATTGTTCTGCTCTGTGCCTGGTGCTGCCTGGAGGAATTTGGGCTTTGGGGGGGCATCGCTCATTGCAGTCCTTCAGGAGTTGGAAATGAGAACCTGAAAGTGAAGGAGGTTACACGGGGAAAAATATATGAAATGAAGCAATTCTTCCCGCTCTGATACATTCTAATTAAGGGAACTGTCACCCTTAGTAAGAGGCCATTAATTCATCGTCATAATTCACCATTGGAAAAGCCTGAATGTGCCTGGGCCTTGGGGACAGCATTTCCCAGTCCTACTCCTTCCTGCATCTCTTGGAAGCTGAACATCACCAACCTCCTCCTGCAAACCCAGGCTCATCCCTGCCTGTGTCTTCTGCCCTGTGTGCTCTTGTGCTTTTGCAGTACAGAGGATGGAGGATGCTGCTCCAGGGGAAGCAAAGCCCCAGGGGCTGCCAAAATGTCCCCAGTGCTTCCTTTCTGCCAACATCACCTCCTGGTTACAGACAGCTCTGTCTGTGGAGCCTCTCATTATGCATTCTGCATGGAGGGACTTGCATCAGCTTAATTAACGAGGTAAGAAAGACAGGACCTTTGAGGAAATCTTAATTATATTATCCATCTCACCCTGAGTGGCACCTGATCCATCCCAACACTGTTCCCAAGTTCATTAGCAATGATCTGAGATTGATTAGTCCTGGGTGTGCAGCGACAGGGACAAGGACCAGAGATCCAGGGTAGGGACTGGGAGTGCAGAATGGGGATCAGGGCTCTGGGGTGGGAACCAGGGCTTCAGGATGGGGATCAGGAATATGAGATGAGAAGTAGAGCTTTGATATGGAGACCAGAGTTTGGGATGGCAGTCAAGGGTATGGGGACCAGGGATACGGGATGGGAAACAGGGCTTTGAGGTGGTGAGCAGGACTTTGGGTTGGCAATCAAAGTTATGGGATGGGGACCAGGGATATGGAATGGGAAACAGGGCTTTACGGTGGTAAGCAGGGCTTTGGGTTGGCAATCAAAGTTATGGGATGGGGACCAGGCATATGAGATGGTGACCAGGGCTTTGGGATGGGGACCAGGATCCTGGAATAGAAACCAGAACTTGGGGATGGGGATCTGTTGTGACTGAGAGTCCAGCAGATACCTGATGGGAGAACAGGTTCCTGATGAGCTGGGGCACATAACTGATCAGGGAAGGGCAGCAGATGCAACTGGCCTCAGTTTGGCCCTTGAGCAGGCACTGAAATCCATCAGCAGCGTCCCATAGCTGCACGCAGCAGGGATATCTGAGGCTGTGGCTGTAGCCAAGCATGAATGTGAATGCTGGGAGATCGCTTCCTGAATCAGAGAGGCAATCAGCAGCATTTCAGTTCTGAAGATATCTGTATCATCAAGGCAGGCACAGTAATTACTTGGACAAATTAGGCATGCATTTGCTATGTGCAACTGCGTCGGTGTTGACAATTTCTTTTTGCTTGCGAAGCCTTGCTGCAATCTGCAAGCAGCCTCCACCACTGGGAAGGGATTGCTGCTTTTTTCCTTTTTAAAGCAAGAAAAAGCTGCCCGTTATTTTTTATCCCAGTAGGTCTTTGTCCTGCTTATTGCAAACAATATAGCCGAGAGCAAGGAAATAACTCCGGTTGCATCCCAGCAGGGTCCGGCCCCGGTCCTCTTCGGGTATGGGACGCTGGGACTTAGGACACAGAGGCATTAGAGGGCGCCAGATGATTGCCCAGAGGCGGACCCGTGCTCCGATGCAGCCTTGGAGAACGCTCAGCTCGCTCCAGCTGCACCAGATGCAGAAATAGCAGAGCAGTGGCAGAATGGGGTGTGCAGCCCTGATGTGGGGTTTGCTTTTGGCTTCCATCAGCTCAGCGGGTCTCTGGCTGCAGAAGTGGAATTGGAGCATAGCCTGACACGGGCGGAGGTGGCACACGAAGCCGGAGCTGGGGACCAACGAGGGACCCTCTGACAGCAAAACTGCCCCCAGACCACTTGGGTGCAACACGACAGGAGCCATTCTGCCCCCTCACCTCTCCGGAGCTCTCCCCCAAAATCTCAGCTCTAACGATACTGCACCCACATCTCCAGCCCTGCCACCATGGTCTGCTCCAGGACACTGCTCCTATGGGGACAGCCACCCACTGCCAGCCACCCACTGCCACCACCCCGCTGCCACCCTCTCCCAGTGCCCAGTGCCAGGGCTGGGGTGGCAGCATGGTGGGCTCTGATCTGGTGCAGGGGTTTCACAGCAGAAGCAACGGGGCCACATCCTGCATGGGGCTCTGCTCTGCACGGGGCTCTGCTCTGCATGACAGCACAGCAAGGAGAAAATATGCACCCTGAACTGGCCGGGATCAGGCCCCACACACTGTGTTTTGCTCCAGCTGGGAGTCCCAGCAGCTCCCTGCTGCTGCAGGAGGGATGGTTTTCTTCCTGCTTGTTTTCTTTCTTTTTTCTAAAATTCAATAAATCCGCTCAGCTTTGTTGCTTGTGAAGTTCTAGCGAGGTGAGAAGAGCCAATTTCACTGCATTTCTAAAAAGGTCAATATCAGCAGAGGAGGAGGAAACTCAGATTTCTGTGTGTGTGGAGGAGGGAAAGGGGCAGTGAGCAGCAAACCCCCAGGGCTGTGGGGTCCCTGCAAATGAGTCCTTGAGCAGCCCCATGTTTGGAGGGGGGGTATCTCCATTCACACACCATAGAGCTCCCACAGGGACGGTGTTGGGATATTCCCTGACTCAGTGGCTGAAATCTTTCACTTCGTTTTCCCTAGCTGGGGGGCAGGGAATGAGCAGAATCACAGGACGAGTAGGAGAGCAGCAAATGGAAACAACAGTCTGACTTTATTTGCAGAGCAGGAGGTGGTGCGCGGTGCCACCTGGGTGCCTGCTCTGCCACAGCCCTGGGGTGTCCCTGGGCACTGGGGGATGCGACTAGAAATGTCACCTCCTTTCAATCATCAGCTGGGATTTGGGGACGGTGCTGGTATGGATGGCACTGTCAAAGTCCCCTGAAGGGTTGGGAGTTTGCAAGAGCTCTGGAGGGGTAGACCTCTGCAAAAGGGCCTGGACAAAGCCTGGGCAGCATTGGGGAGGAATAAATAGAGCCTGGGACCAGAGAGCGGGGAACCAGGCATGTGGATGAGGACAGAGGAAGGACGTGGAGCATCTCCTGTGCAGCATCCCCTGGAACGTGCTGACCCCTGGGCTTCCACTGCTGCTGACTCAGCTCCCTTTTTAATTCACAAAGTGGAGCCAGGCACTGGTGACTGCCCTGCTTTTAATTTCTTTGCCTGGTTGGGTCATCTTATTCGCTGCCGATAACATTGTCTCCTAGGACACTGGAAGACAGCCCAGTTCGAAGGGAGAATGAAGCTCCAAGGCATTGACACCAGCAAAGCCTGCAGCTCTCCCAGCCACTCCATGCCACTGGGCACCACTCGTGTGCAAAGGCATCAGCATCCCATGTGCAGCTCCTGTTTATCCCACAAATGGCCGTGCTGGAGTTGCCCACACTGCTCAGCCCTGCCTGTTGCTGGTTCTTTTTGCAGTCTCTCCCGTCAGGCTCAGACGGGCCAAAGTTCACCTGTCCCACCGACTGCTTTGCTAATTTTCCTCCAGCTGGGAACCACGTCTGTTGAAGAAAGCATCCCATCTCTGCCCAGAAATGTATTCATAAAAAAAGAAAGAGAGAGAAGAAAGAGAAAAGCCCTGGAGTGGCTCGGGAGCTGTCTCTTCGTATTCCAAGCATGCTGCTCAGGTCTCGTATCTGCAGTGCACAGTCCATCCCAGAGCTGCTCGGTTCACAGTGTTGGTACAATCTGCCAAACAGACGGATCAGCTAGGAGACATTTCCGAAAGACGCTGGAACAAGGAGGGGAGAGGAAGGAATGAACAGCCTGCAGGGTCAGAGCCTGCCTGGGAGAATCCCACCCTTCCAGTGCACCTTGCCACCAACAGACTTTGTGCTGCATTCCACAACCCATCCCTGTGCACCGCAGCCTGTACCCCACAGCCCATCCCCCAGCAGCACAGCCCATGCGCAGCTCATCATGCTCCAGCTCACACACCCACTTCTCTCCTTGTTCCCACAGCTGCAATCTCCCCATGGTTCCCCTTCCTGTCCCAATCCTACCTTGGCTGAGCAGCTGCAGGTTCCGGACCTCCTCACGCACCTGGAGCTGCAGGACCTGCTGCAGCACCTCCTGCCGCTGCGCCTCGTGGGCGATGCCCATACGCTGCAGCTTCTCCCCATTGAGCCTCAGCAGAGCCCGACCTGCAAGCACAACAAGGCTCAGCAGCTGCCCAGT